AGTGGACGCCTATCCCTGGTCTCCTGCGGCATCTCAAATGTATTTCTAGTACATTTTGGCCATAATACCTCATTCCTGCGACGGTTGTGCTTATCCGTCTGCCTAGTTCTCTGACTGCCAGGCCCCCAAAGTTAATTTTTTTATTAGAATAGACATCAATTACTAATAACGTCTTCACTTGATTCCCGAAAATTCCCGCTTCCCTCTTTGTTTGTTCGTGATCCATTTTCCTCCAGTTAGCAATAGATCCTTGATCCAGGCGTCTCCTTTTTACTGGTCTTGCTATATTCTTGTTTTACCCGAGTTTGTTTAAGCAGTAGGCAGAGTTAGCTATAACTCTGCCTTCCTCCAATCTCTGTTTATTAGATTGTTTTCCCCAAGTATGTCAATGGCCTCCCTAATATTTTGCTTCCTTGTGTTTTCACCGTATAAGGCTCTTTTTATGTTGCCTTCCAATGTATATCTTGTCCAGTCTGTGCGATGTTTTCCGCTAATTCTGATCTTTCGGTTTCCATTTTCCTGCAGAGGCTTTGATGTTCCTTGTTTCATATGCTAACTTTTCTCTCTTTTTAACCAATATATTTATGTTCGCAGGCGCTGCATCCTATGCAGTAAACTCCTGAATAATCCTATTTGTCCACCCATTCATGTTGCGTCGGTAGACTTGTGAAGAGTGTTGTTTTCTTCTTCATGGCCACTCGAATACTTACAAATGTATATTTTTCAGTCTTAATTGAATCATTCCATGTTCTATTCTTTGTTTCACAGAAATACTGGACTATGCTAAGAAGTTCGATTGAATATAATTTTTTTATATTCGTATGTTCTCTTATCTTTCCATGTATAAGAATTTTTTACTTCAAGATTTATTCTAAACTCGGAGTGCAGCATATAAGCCATTCAGAAAATAATAACTCCACTTAGAGATTCCATCTTTATATGTTCTACTATTACAGTCTTTTGTATATTTTATAAAATCCGTGACACTGATTCCTACCTTACTCATTTTTTAGGTTATTCTTTCCTCGTGGGTTGAATTTAGTTTACCTGAATCTCGTAACGCCCACGACACTGCGGCTTGCTTTCGTGACTCTTGGCGCACTTTGATTTCAGAAGTTTATGGGCTCCTAATCGATATAGATCTCTCTCGTGTTTCTGATAAACAGCGCCGAAATAGCATGAACTTACATCAACCTAAATCTAACGGTTGCACTATCGCCTATAACAACCAATATACTAGTGGATATACAAATATAGCTCGGCAGTACAACGGGTCGTCTGAAAGCTCACCTTTCTGGAGTTCTGCTCGTTTGTCCGAGAAGATTGATCTATCTACATCTGTTACGTCAAACCGATTGGATACCCTGCCTCCAAGGGGTCGATCTGTTGGTCCCTCTGAGAGCAGGCGGGGCTACACGGGAGTTCAAATTAATCGGTAAATATCAGGGATTTTTTCTTGTGACAGCATTATAATATCTATTTCAGCTAATTGTCTTTAGGCTTAAGCTTTAAAAATACTCATGGAAAGCTGAGAATCTTCGTGCATAATTAGTTAAATATATTAAAGCAACACTAAATTTCATTAATAATAAATTTATTTTATGATTGGTTAATTTTTACTCTTTAATTTACCTACCGTCATTATTTTTTGTTAGATTTAATAGATGCTTTAACTTGTATCACATATCTTCAAAGAAATGGCCGTAACAATGGGTAACTCTTCTAAAGCTCCATAGAATTGTAAAATTTGCATTTTTTAGATTACTCCTGATTGACCTAGATTTTTCAGGGCCAAGTTTTTATTTTTAATGGAATTCACTTTTTAAGCTGCATTTAGGCGCTTCTATTAGGCTTATTTTCATTCAATATTTTGTTTATTTGCCTTATACAACATACATTTTATCAAGAAATAAAGCATCTCCTTTAAAATAGCAGGATTTGGATTGTTCTTTTTGCTATATAATGCCAAAGTAAGTATATTTTACTTCTGTCCAGACTTATCACAAGGGCCTCCATTCCTGACTGAAGATAATCCTTTATGTTAAAATGATTTTTAATGCTCATCAAGTTCTTACGTTCTGATCCATTTGGACGAGCTGCTCTGTGATTTCACTCGTGGTCAACCCATTCTTTTATTCTGCAAACAACTAAGCATGTGATATCTTACTCGAATAACAATGTTTATTTTATGTTGTTGCACCTTTCGTATGGCTTTCCGAATGGATTTCTAAATTGAATTCACTGGAAGCCCAGGAGGATTGTTTAAGAGTTGTGGCGAAATCTGTTCCTAAATATCGTTTCTAAACCTTCCTTCCACTCTGATAACTTTGTGCTGAGATTGCTTTGTTATGCAGGAAACTTAATCAATCATTAGATTGATATAATCTAATAATTCTTGTGTTAATCTTTAATTTTAGCAATTAACGGCATCATAGATCTAAAAGTTAGACTAATTTAAGAATCATTCCTTATTGCCAAGTTATATATGGACGAATATTTCTCTATTCTAAGGCACTTTTAGGAGTATGGAGGAACTCCTTATATTAATGGGCAGATTATATAGGTCAGAAGAATTCAAAATGGAGTTTGAAATGAATCTTTAGCC